TAAGGACAGTCAATGTTAAGCAGGACATATTTTTGTAAGATCAAAAATCAAAAGATTATTTAAAATCAAAAATCATACTCATTTTGGGTAGTTGGGTGGATATGTTCGAAATGTTCTGCATCAAAATTTATACGACTGCATCACTTGGGTTTGTATTTTTGTTGAAAATTCAAATTATAAAAAAATACAGGGTTGTCTTTTGTTGTTTTTATTTTTGCAAATTACATTAATATAATAATATTGTTGATATTTGTTTTTTTTTTAATTTCGTTCGGATTTAGGAATTTTGAAAAAAGTTTTTTTTTGTTATTTAACTAAAAGTCGCAAATGTACCAGGATACGTAAAAGCTATAAAAACAAAGTTAAAAAAATAAATAAATTTAAAAATAATACAACAAAATCTTTAACAAAATTACTTGAAAGAAGAAACAAAAAAAAACTATTTATTTAAAGCATTTTTATTTTTTCATTATTTGGACTTATTAAAACATCTAAAATATGCACATAAATAATGAATATTTTTTTTCGTTTTTTATATTTTTTTGGGGGAAAGAAGGAAAACGGGTTTAACCAAACTTCAAGGGGGAATCTAGTTTAAAACTCTGATACAACAAAAAGCCTTTCTATTAATAATAATATACAATACTTTAGTACTTGATATAACTATATGTATGTATGTTTTTTTATTAATTATAAACACTTTGTTATCGATATATTCTATATAATAAATGTATAAGAAAATTTAATTAACAAAAATTAAAATTTAAATATTTGTCTGGTTTTGCAGTTCGATTGATTGGTTTAAATTACAAAATATATAAAAAATGAAAGCCAGTCTTATGTCAATACCTAAAACCCCCTTATTTAAACAGTTACACTGATGAAGCAGACTTGATGAAAAATATTTTTCATGCAAAGAGAAAAAAGACAACCAACTTACACTGTGAAAATCCAGTAGATTATGAAATTAGCGCTAAAAGTAAAACACACGTTCTTCGGCGTTTTGTAAGTTTTCATAGCAAAGTAATGTCAAAAGTCTAAATCTTGCCTAAACGCCAAGAATTAATACATATTAAAAACATATTTTCATAAGTAAGGTAAAATCGTAGGTTAGGAGAGTTTATCTCCAGAAAGCATCGTTTAAAAGAAAATAATAAAATAAGTATTTGCGTTTTTTGCCACTTATTTAAAACTTTTCCAATCTAACTCAATATCTCCCTTTATACTAAATTTTTTGGAGAAGAATTTTTCTATTTCAAACCTCTTGGTAATACTCTGAAAAAATTACCACCTTTCTCAATTTGCTGCAAATGTTCTTATAATTTCTCTGCCCAATAGCTAGTCAGGATCAAACCCATACATAAGCGTCTTTGTTTATTTTTAAATATATACAGAGGGACGACTATTGTTTAAGATACATTCCGATAAAGATACCACATTTTCTAATCGATTTGACTGAAAATTGATATTTTGGACGGGGAACCTTCCGACAGAAGATGTTCAACCAAAATATAATATAAAGGTCCCCATAAAAACTTATTTTTGAACCAGTAATGTCAAAAGTCGGTCCGGACGACTATATGTTACTCTACACCACTATGCATATATAGTAGAGCTCCCGTAACAAAAGAATTTATTTCAAGTAGATCATACCGCCTATCAAAATTTGGCTTTAGAGCAGTTATAATTTGGGAGGCATATCCAGTTCTGAATCGATTTTCATTTTAATATTCTATACCAAACATTGCTATAGAGTGCATGACATCAGTTCGAGAAGGATTATATTAAAAAATATAAATCGGAGCCGAGTTCCACAAAATTAAAACGAACGTCCAAAAATCACTCCATTTTGCCTAATATTAGCCATTATTTGCACAATAAACCTGAATCGGATTAAGCATTTATATGGGAGCTATATCCAAATCTGTGCCGACGTCATAACATTCGCAAAGGTATATCCCAGCTCTATATGATATCTTGTACCAAATATCATTGTTGTCGAATGCATATTACGAATGTGAGATACTTAAAGACCAAATCGGATGAAACATTTATATGCAGCTATATATGAACCGATTTTCTTTCCAAATTTGATGTACTTAATTCTAGACTGAGTTCGGTCGGATATACCAAAATTCTGGAGTTTTTGACAGATATTGGCCATTTGGTGTACAATTAACCCGAAATCGGTCGAAGATATATATGGGAGTTACATTCAAATCTGATCCGATCTTGATACATTTGGCAAAGGTATTTCCGGGCTTTATCTGGTACCAAATATCATTATTGTGGAACGCATATTAAGAACGTAAGGGCTTTAACTCCATATCGGATGAAATATATATATATGGGAGCTGTAGCTATATCTGAACCGATTTTCACCAAATTTAATGTACTTGCTTCTAGACTGAATTCGGTCGGATATGCCAAAATGCAGGTAATTTGAAGTGATATTGGCTATTTGGTGCGCAATCAACGCGAAATCGGTCGGAGATATTTATGGGAGCTATATCCAAATCTGAACCGACCTTGATTACATTTGATACACTTATATCATAGCTGTATCTGATATCTGGTACCAAATATCATTCTTGTGGAGTGCATATTAAGCACGTGAGGGACTTAGAACCCCAGATCTGAACCAATTTGACGTACTTTCTTCTAGACTGAATTCGGTCAGATATGTCAAAATTCAGGTCATATGGACTGATATTGGCCATTTAGTGCACAGTTATCCCGAAATCGGTTGAAGATATATGGGATCTATATCTAAACCTGATCAGATAATCACCAATATCAATAGGGTTCGTCCTTGGGCCAAACAAATATTGTTTGTAAATTTCATCTCAATCGGATACTAAATGCGACCTTTTTGTCCATTTTGATCACAAGAATTCATAGACGGACGGACTCATAAAGTGATTCTGTAAAGATCCTCAAAAGTAACTATGGGTTTATCTCGCTTCCTTCTCCTGCTACAAGTAAATGCGCAAAGACATAATACCCTTATTACTATGTGGTGTACGGTATAAAAACACTAGGATCGGAGTTATCTTCATCCTTACATGAAGGTTTATGAAAAAGTGGATTGATATGACCAATTTTCTGTTCCAACTTTTTACAGTTTTCACCTACAAATAGGGACTATCAAATCCAATTGGAATTTTCCACAACCCAGATTTGTAGAATATTTCGATGCTGTTTAAAACGAGCTTTTGATCTATTATTTTGAGGGTTAAATTTTCCCTTCAAATAAACGCCGTATTGTCATCGGTAATATTGCTAAAGACAGTATATACATAAAATTCACAGATTCCAATGCTGAATGCGAACATTTCAACAGATTTTGATTTACGTTATTTGCGATGTAAACTTTTAAAACGCCGAAACACATATCATTTTTAAACCCTCAGCCATATGGCTATAGGGGGCATATATCATGTGAGTAGGGCAAAACGTGCCTCATCGAAGTACCGTTATTAGACTCTAGGTCTCTTTGGACCAAATCCGTTTCTGGACATTTGGAGTGGATCTAGCAGCGTTTCTCCGTCCGTCCGTCTACCTGACGCGAACCTCCGCAAAGGTCACCAATCTTTGGAATTGGAATACTTGTGTCTCTAATAACTTGAAAAATAAGTCAGCGATTTTCTTCAAACTTTGTGTATCTTGATATTTCTGTCATTTAATGATTATTTTTGGCCACTCCCTCTAGTACAACAAAATGTCATATTGAGGGACGGGAGTACCCGATGTAGTCCAAACCTGATAATGAATGTATCAGAATTAAATGCGAAAATGAATAATAAGGGTCCACTTCTACGCTACCTTCCCAATATAGAGACAGCATTTAGAATAATCGTAACGAATGTGAAAATATATGCAAATGTGTAAGTGGCGGAAAAACCGGCTGATTCTATTTAACTTGTTTTAGGTTTACTTTAGTAGTCTGCTGTATTTTTCCTGTAATTATGGAAAAATTATTTTATTTATTATTATTATTATTATTTTTTTTTTTTTTTTTTTTTTTTTGAACAAAGTAATCTAAGAGACTGCCTGGACTACCAATACATTCAGAAAATATCACATTTTGGTGTGATTTATTAGCTGGTTCTTCCTCAAAAATTTTGCAAATTTTAACACAACAGTGATAGTAAGGGCTGTATAGAGATTACATCCAATTGTCCCCCAAATTTCGAGAGCTTGACTTGCATAACAAGTGGTTTCAACAAGACAGTGCCACATGCCACACAGCACGGATAACAATAGAGTTATTGTGAGGCGAATTCGGTGAACAATTAATTTCACGTTCGGAACTGGTCAACGGGCCACCTAGATCGTACGAATTATAGCCTTTACACTATTTTTTGTGAGGCTATGTAAAGCTAATGTCTATACATACGAGCCTCCTTCAATTGAGGCACTGAAAGACAACACTGAAGCAATTATTTATGTGATACCGGCTGAAATGCTGATAAGAGCATGTCGAGTTTGGACTATTCTGATAGATCATTTGCAGTGAAGTCGAGGTCAATATTTGTATGAAATATTCTTCAAACGTTAAATTATATGCATCATGTACTCTTTACCAAACCACAATGGCAATATCCAAAAAATAACATATCTTTATGTTTTACAAATGGATATTGGCCAGTAATATTCCGAAGGCACGATGTACATAAAATATAATGAGACTTCCAAATCAGGCTTTCATTTATTGTCATTTTCAATCGAAATACCAAAACAGACTTTTTTCTAATAAATAAAAATATTCACCAATTTTGTTTTAGTTTTGTTTTGCCAATTAAAAGCTTTATACAATCAGTATTTTAATTATTTTCATTTGATATGATTTCGTATTGGAATTTTGTAGGCAAAATTAAAAACTTAAATACTTTTCATTTGAATTTGTTTGAAAATAAAATTATTTATTATATATTTATTTATTTGTGATTAAAAGAAAGTAGAAAATGTAAGAAATTCAGTTATGTTATGTTGTTTACCTTGGTCCCAATCGAATTCTCTATCCCAATCTCTTTCTCGTTCTCTCTCCCATTCGCGGGCCCTTTCACGTTCCCATTCGAGATCGCGTTGTCGTTCGCGCGGTGTTCTACGTCCTTTTGTGAACTCATTATCCCAATAGTCGCGTTCATAATCTTCGTCTCGTTCGCGTTCGCGACTTGTCATATCTCGATCGCGACTACCCTCGCGTTCAATGGAGCCCATGCGGTACTCACGTTCATCTTCGCCCCCATCAACTAACGTAATTGCAGGCAAATAAAGTAACAACAAAAATTCGCAAATATTTCCATTGATTTTCGCATAAATTTTCCACAAACAAAACAAAGAAAAGAGAGAACGAGTAGGATTGTTTCGATTGTATTTGGTTGGTTTTATTTTTTTTTTTTGTTTATAGATATATATTTTTTTAATTAAAAAAATAAACAATAAAAAAGTAGAATAAACATAATTTACAAAAATTCGTTAAAAAGGTGTCAGTATATTTTGTAAATAAATTAGTTGAACTTAAAATTAATGGAAAATGTATTTGGTTTTTTTTCTTCTCATTTCTTGTGTGATTGAGCGAATGTGGGTGGTTTTGTTATCCTATATTTTTTTGGAATATTCAATGTTTTTTTTTTATAATGCCTAAACTTCTATTGTTAACATCTCATTATATAATGACTTTAATGGCATGAAGTCAGAAAAAAAAAATAAATAAAACATGTATGGAATGGGATCTTTTGTCACATAACTTACCTGGTGGCGTTGGACCCAAACGGGCCTGATCTGTGGTAGGTGAGGCTTCCTGAGGTATTGGTCTAGGTATGGATTGAGCCGATGTTATATCTGGATGTGTGGCTCTCCAATAGGTCTATAAAGGGAAATGCAAAATGTTGAGTTATGTTATTGAAATGGGTGATAATCGGATTAGATTAGAGATTATTATAACGCCAATGCACATGTCTTCAATTTTAAGCTCTACATTCATAATTCGCAGGATTTTGTCCTGTTAATCCTTTTTATACCCTCCACCATACATAGTATGGAGGGTATATTAAGTTCGTCATTCCGTTTGTAACTCATCGAAATAATCATTTTAGACCCAACAAAGTATAGATATATTCTTGATCAGCTTAAAATTGTAAGACGATTTAGCCCTGCCCGTCCTTCTGTCCGTCTGTTGTAATCACGCTACAGTCTAAACGAATTAAGATAGGAAGCTAAAATTTTGCACATATTTCTCTTTTGTCTGCAGGCAGGTCAAGTTCGAAGATGGGCTATATCGGTCCACGTCTTCGTATAGTCCCCATATAACGGTACCGCCCGATATTCGGTATTTTGATGATTTTAGCCACATTTTTCAACGGAATTGTATGAAATTCCACAAAAGGAGTCCCTTGTAGGTATTTTACTCCATCAAAAAGAATTGTCTATATAAGTCCACAATATCGTATATCCCCCATATAACGGCACTCCCCTATATTCGGTATTTTGATGTTTTTAGCCACTTTTTCCAATGGAATTATCTGGAAATCCACACAAGGAGTTCCTTGTGAGTACTTTACACCCAGACATAGATTTGTCTTTATAGGTCCACAATATCGTATATCCCCCCATATATCGGCACCTTCCTATATTAGATATTTTAAAAATTTTAAAATAATTGTTAATGGATTTTATTTTTTTTTTTAAATTTTCGAATTCTTTCCAAATGGTGGAGGGTATTCAAAGTTCGGCCCGGCCGAACTTACTGCTTTTTTAATTGTTTTGTGTTGCACTGTGTAATATAATAACAAATTCCAACAATTTTTATACACTTACCTCTAAATATTCAGCAATATGTTCACAGGCATCTTCTAATTGATTTTCATCTAGGATAACATCAAACATTTCCGGTGGACATTGGGCCAATTTCTCAGCGGCTACCATTTGTACGGAAAGATTTTTAGCCTGTGACTTTCCACGTGATTTGATTAAACGCTGTAAAACCTGCTTAGCCGAATGTTGAAGATGATGGTGGCGACGGCGATAACAACACCAACGACCACAACGTCGATGACGATGACGACGACGACCACGACGAGGAAATAAAGTAAAATATAGAAAAGTGAATTTTTAGCACAACTACTTTTCAAGCATACCACAAAGGGGTGGACCGGCTGTAGCGGTGGTGGTGGTGTTGGTGGTTGGTGGTCCAACACCGCCTGTGTAACCCTTACGTACTTACCTTACTACTACTAATTTTAAGATAAACTACGGTTGGTGCTAATGAAGTTTTTGCTAGTTGTGACGGATGATTGATTGTATCACAATCGAGTACTACTAATTGTAACGTCCGGGCCAATTCGAATATTCGTTCTATCTCCTCCTGTACTTTGCTCAAACAATCAGATCGGCTGCTGGATCGTTCCATTATCGCCCGTTTCGATGGATTGTTCATGATTGAACGTTTGGCCAGTGAAATATCGGCCATGACACGGGTGATGATGATCTTACCCTTGAACCGGTGCTTCAGGAAGTCAAATAAAGCTTTTTGCATCATATCGGTTACTTCGTAACCCTTTAAGCTTGGACCCACTAAGACTACGGGACGCATCGATGGCACGACATCGTAGGGCGAGGCGGTCTCCTGTTTCTTGAAGAATGGCTTGCGCTTCTCCTTGTTGGGCGGTGTGGCGAGGTTCCCCTTTTTGCCTGGACCCGAATCTGATTCATCACCTGATTGGTTAGTATCATCGAAATAGGCAAGAGAGAGAGAAAAAAACGGGGGGAGAAGAACGAAAAAAAGACGAAAGATGGTAACGGATGAGCGAGTTTATGGCAGCTACATGAAAACGATATCACGCATCGAATGATTTGACTATTCGATTCGAATAATATTTTGTTTGTTGTTTTTGTTTGCTAATTTGTTATTGTTGTTGGTTTGTTTGATGGATTGTTGGTTTGTTTTTTTTTTTTTTGTTTTTAGGTTAACTATCGTGAAGGGTGTTTTTGTTTTTGTTGCGGTGATTTGTTGAACTTGACTGACTGACTGATTGATTGTTGAATTGATACGAAAAAAAATAATGTTTTGTTTTTTTTTAAGATTTGCATCTAATTGAAATATTTCATTGTTCAATTTCGTTAATCGATATTAAATACGAAACGGAACTATTGTGATGCAAATTTTGGTCTTTTGTTGTTGTGATCAATGTACGTGAAGTGACGTGACGGGTGAGTGAGTGAGTGATATCTAAACGTTATTATGGACATAATTCAGTTAGTTTTGGATTGAAATGCAAAAAACCAAAATATAAACGAACAAAAAATAAAAATGTTTGGCAAACACGAATTGGGCGTACGATGAACATTTTTTGGAAATCTCTTCGAGGTTGCTTAGCCGAATTCAAAGTGAGAGAAAAATAAACCAAACCATTTTCTTGGCATGTATATATTTCGCTCGTACGAATAATTCGTGATCGTCCAAGGATTTCAGGGACTAGTGAATATGTAAACAAATGTGATATACAATTGAACACAGTTATAACGAGGTAATTAGTTGGTGAGTATGTTATCGAACCAATTTTAAATAACATCATTATAAACAGTTATCGTTATAAACATGTTCGAGTGTATTAGTCACGTTTTTTTCCAATTTAAAATAAATGCACTGACTTCTAACATGCAATGTATGTTAGGTGACAATTTCAAGTGGCAAAAGATTTTGATGTATGGCAAGTATAAATTTAATTTAATTGATTTAAATTTGATTTCGACCAATGTTGGTGAATACTCATTAAGTTAGTAAAAATCTAGAAATTAGATTCTATGGAGGGCATATTAACTTTGTCATTCCGTTTGTGACCCCTCTTAATATTCATAATAGACCCTTCAAAGTTTATATATATTTTGCATCAACGTAAAATTCTAAGACTATCTAGCTATGTCTGTCTGTCTGATGTAATTACGATATATTTCGAACGAATAGAAATAGAAAGCTAAAATTTTGCATACATGCATAGTTTACCAGTTGGCAGGTTAAGTTCGTAAATGGGACATGTCGGTGCACGTTTTCGTATAGCCCCATATAACGGTACCTCCCGATAGTCGCTATTTTCATGATTTTAAAAAATTATTTTGTATTTGAAGTTCGTAATGGGTACTACAGCCTATGATAAACATTTTTATATGCAGGTTCACGTCTTCGCATGGCCCCCATATAACAGTACCTCCCGATAGTCGGTATTTTGACGATTTCAGCAACATTATTCAACGAAATTGTTTCAAATTTCGTATTGGAAGATCTTAATGGGTACTACAACTTATGCCAAAAAAAATCGTATGCAGGTCCGCGTCTTCGCATAGCTTTGCTAACCCTAATATTTGTATCAATACAAGGCCATGGACAAAATCGGCCACTCCTTCTGGTACCTCCATTGCAAAAGGTTACAAATTTGAACAAATTAGAGTCCAAATGTTCTCAAATTTCGCTCATCCCAGATTTCTACTCTAGGTCACCATCTTTCTCACATGTAATTCGAAAATGTTAAATTCGTAACATTCCATATGTGTTTCGAGAATTCCATTTTAATTCCTTAAATTGAAATTCCAGAATTCAATTTGTAAATCGAAAAATTTTATGCCGTAACATTTTATTAGTGTTTCGAACATTTCATTTTAATTCGTAAAATTCCAATTGAAATACGAAATAATTAATTTATAGTTCGATTTTTTTTATTTTTTTTCGAATTAATCCATTTGAAATTCAAATTATTTTATTATTTCATTATCATTTTATTTGTAATTCAAAAAATTAAAAATATTTGTTTTTTTTTCAAATTTCAATAGAATAATTTGAATTATAATGAAAATGTTACGAATAACAAATGGAAATATCGAATTACGAATTGAAATACGAAAGGAATTCTCGAATTTCAAATAAAATTTTCCCAATTTCATCTGAAAAATGAGTAGCATGAAGGTTTACATTTTTAAATATCCATTTTTCAATTAACCAATTGAACCAATCATATATATATATATATATATATATATATATATATATATATATATATATATATATATATATATATATATATATATATATATATATATATATATATATATATATATATATATATATATGATTGGTTCAATTGGTTAATTTAAATTGGTTTGGTAAATCGGTCCATAAAAATATGTTTTCCAATAATCATTGGTATATGATCCTTGCAAAATATTCTTGTCCTCGAAGGAATACTCTTTACAATTCCACGATTATTGTAAATAAGTTCACGATTATTGGGTCATTATCCTTGAAAAAATATTAGTCTTTGGTAATATATTCCTAAAAATACACAAATATTGCTCCAATAGGCCCTGAAAAATATTATTTAAGAATCCGCGGTTGACGATCTACGAATACGTGAAAAAATTACTAGTAATTGTCCAATGGCAGCGGAAAAAATATCCATTAGTTCTTAAAAAAATATTCATTAAAAAATCCACTATTATTGATCCATTAATTATTGGAAAAATATTCATTAAAAATATTAAATTCTTGGTTCATTCTTCTTTAAAAAAAAATAATTTGTAAAGACATAAAATTATTGGTATCTTAGTAATTGAAAACATAATCTTTGAAAATTTACGATGATTTCTCTTAAGATCTTGAAAATTATTTCTTAAAAATCCACAATCAAAAAATTCTACGATTATTGGTCGGTTAATCCTTGGACAAATATTCTGTAATAATCTGCCAATCATCGGTCCTTAGAAAAATATTCTTTAAAAATCTGCGATTCAACGGTCTTTGAAAAAATATTCTTTAAAATTCCACGATTATCGATCGATCCTTGAACATAAATTCTTGAACACAAATTCTTTCATTTGTCCTTAAAAAATATTCTCTAAAAATCCACTATTATTGTTAAAATACGCTATTATAGCTATTTCTCTTTGAATAATTACCTTTATAATAAAAAATTCTTTAAACAATTAAGATTCGGCTAAATTTGTCCGTGAAAAATAATCTTTCAAAATCCCCCTTGATCCCTTAAAAATATTCTTTAAAAATCCAAAACGTTCGCTATTATTTGTCCTTGAAAAAAATATTCTTTAAATTTCGTGATTATTTGTTCCTTGTCCCTTGCAAAAATACCTAATGATTCACGGTTATTGGTCCTTTAAATAATATTCCTAAAAACCTACAATTATTTGTCAATTGACCCTTGAAAAATATTCCTTGTCGAATATTGTGGACTTTAATCATTGTTAACATTCACTATTATTATTCTCTTACAACGATTCTCTAAAAATTACGGCTATTGATCCATAGATCCTTGAAAATATAATATTTAAAAGTTTTGTGGTCCTTAAAAACTTATCATTTATAGAACAATAGTTTTTAGAGCATATATGCTCGGAAAATCCATCAGTCCTTGAACATTTTTCTTTATATGTCCATGATAATTGTACCAAAAAATTTTTAAACATTTATGATATTTGAGCCTTTAGATCTTGAAAAATATTCCTTAAAAAATCATAATCATCGGCACTTTGGTTCTTAAAAATTTTATTTTTAAAAATTCTCGAAAATTCTAACTTTTACCAATCCCTGAAGAAATATTTCAATAAAATTCAATTTTATTGGTTCTTAACTGTTTTAAAATTCAAGATAATTTTTCCTTTAGTTCCAATACATGTGTTTGACAAATACATCTATTTCTAAATTTGGGTGAAAATGAATGAAGACAACGACAATGCAAATTGTATCCTAATACGACTCTATAAGACATCTAATAGCCATCGATGTAAGCACTAAAGTGCAAGTCCATGGGTGGGTCCCAACGTTTTCCAATCTTTCCTTGAAGAACGCGAAACTTCAAACGCATTTGAAGTTTAGCCAAGGTGTCCAGTAGCCGATATTTTATTTGCAAGTTATCTACGGGACTCCCCTCTCCGAATGTTTGGCACTTCGTTTGGAATTTCATTTGGATGGTGGCCTTCCATGATCCTGAGTCCATTTGTGTGTGTTTATTTAAATTGGTAGTAGAAGATAGAGTATCACATTTAAGGGCAGAGCATATTATAGCTTATGTTAAGGTTAAGGATTTCTAGTCGCTGGGTCTCAAAAATTCATAAGAAATTCTACAATTATTTTTGGAGGGATTCGTTCGCTTTACTGCAATCAGCTTCCATCTTCTCCTTACTTACCAAGCTGTATATGATAATTTTAAACTTGCAATCAGATTTCGGAAGTCTTCAAGCCACAACAAGTAAGAGCACCTTCCACATCCAAGAAATCAGAGAGTGTCAATTGTTTATACTCCCAAGATCGTGGATGTATGATCGTTATGTCGTAAATAGAATCGTTGTTGATATTATCAATGGGGACCGAGTACGAGTATTTCACCTTGGGTATAAACTGCACTCTAACCTTTCATCAACGTCGAGGAAATCTTGTTCGGTCAATGGTGTAATAGTGTTCTCAGAGCTTTCAAGCTCTTAGACCATTATTACACTGTTATCAGCAATGTGTGTGTGAGCATTGTAATTTTATCAGTCCCGGAGAAGTTTTTATGGATATTGTTATTGATATATAAGACGCTAATACAAGCTGAATAGATACGTGATTCATGATTGCTTTTTAGCTTTCAATTAGATAATTGTTCTTCTCTAGCATTTACCAATAATATTTTCAGGGTTTCATTATATGGCAGATTTCAATTACTTTACTA